GAGCTTTCCTGGCCTATGATATTGCAGCCTAGTGCACAAACACACAAGCACAGATATCAAGGCAAAAAGCTCGACGAGAAGGAAGCTCACGCACATAAACGCAACAAAAAATACGCTCGGGAAAGAAAATAAAATTCACCCCGATGCGTCACAGACTGCTATACAACCACGCGGGTATAAAAGCAACCGCACGCCACCACCTCGTCAGATTTTTTCGGCCCTAAATACCAGTATAGTTTTCAGTAAATCAATGGAAAAATACGTATATACACGCGTATGCATCATGAATTTTATATTGAAAAATTACGATGCTAAAATAATGAAAAAATAATTCAGAGCCACATCGTTGATGTTATCGGGCAAGCTTGACTGAGAGAAAATCATCGGTTACAGCTGCGTATGGAGGGTTGCGACAGTTCGCTATCACGGCGCGGATACGTATACATAGTTGCGAGCGTCGCTGAAATCGAAAGGGCGCCTATGCATGCGCGTGTGTGTATATATAGCGGTAAATGACGAATAAAGTGCTCCGGGCGATTTGAGATGTATATGCCGTGCGCATAGAGCCTATTCGCGCGTTGCCATATGTGCACAGAAGAGGAGACATCGAGCTTTTAGTGTGTCAGCGTTTTCCCTTCGTGTCAGCGCCTATGAGGTAAGTACCTTTTCCGGCGACGAAAATGACAACAACAACAACAAGGGAAAAAAATCAAATCGACTCTCAAGTACGAGAGCATTAAGACCGATACATATATGTAGCACTTTATTTTTGTCTTATTAGATTTTGTCGACTTTATTCTATCAAAAACTTCAACGAGCGAAAAGAATGAACAGTATGTTATACCTTATGCTTGATAATACATCCTCTTTCAATGAATTTAAACATTTTTTTTCTTCAATATAACGATGCTTCTTCCACTTGCAAAATCTTGCGACCGCGTCATAAAAAAAAAGGAGGAATGTTTTTCTCGCCTTCGTCGTTACCGGCTCTCTTGAAGCAGAAAGTCAAACAAAAGGGACCGGGTATGGATTCCTTTTCATCGCTGCTGCTGTTACTACGTCGTCGTCGTCGTCACCGCCGTCAGTGACGGTAGGTGATGGTGGTGGTAGTGTCGGAGAAGCGAAGGAAATTTCATTTTTCACGGCACTAAAAATACGTTTTGCGAGCCCGAGCCTTTGTGGGATAATAAAAGATAAAACCCGCCTGTGCGCGCGCGCGCCTCTGGACATTGGCTAATGCTTTATCGCGTGCCAACTCGACATCGTTATTCAACCTCACTGCACCTTCTTCTTTTTTCTCAATCTTTCTCTCTCTCTCTCGCTCTCTCTCTCTCTCTGATTACAACGACTGTCGCATACGCTATATCGTTTTCAATTTTTCCATTTAATTATCTGACCGAAGTAATCAGACTTTTTTTTGTGCAAAGTTAATCGAAACAATAAACCGCACAAAAAAAGAAATCACTGAACGAGTAGCGAGAAAAAAAGTTGAAGCTTAGCGAGAAAAAGGAATATTCAAGTACACACGTTTAAGGATAAGAATACCTAAGGGCAAAATCGTCCTCTTTCCTTCGCGCTCAAAAGAGATTCATCTAAAATGCGTACGAGGGTTAAGTAAAAGAAAATAAGAAAGAAAAAAAGAATGAAATAAAAAGATAGGTGGAAGAGAGCTCCCACAAGACGTAAAAAAACGAAGAAGAAGAGATTCCGACACGCGGTATTACACGCCCCTTCGCCCAAGACGAATTACGTATGTAAGTATCATCGGGACATTTATATATTATGCGCGCAGAACGTTATATGTATAAGGGCCGCCGCATGTTCACAAGTGCAGAAAGCTGCCGCTTTTCGGGTGGTCGAAATGAAAATAAACATCGTTTAGCTAATTGTGCAAGCATAATTAACGTCCAAAGCTTTAAATTATCCATTTTTGTTTGTAAATTCACTCACTTCTTTTTCCTCGTTTTCCTTTTTTTTCGTTTCCATTCACCCCTTGGATTTAAAACGATTGCGAAGTTTGAGCACGTTTCCGACGACAGTTAAGCTGCCGAACGAGAGAGCGAGAGAGAAAGTAAAGCTTTATGGGCGGTGACTATCCCGCCGAGATGTTCCCTTTAGGTATACGGCCAAGATATATTATTATTATAGAGTGTAAAATCGAGGGTCAAAGTATGCGCCAAAACTGACTCCTATGAGAGTCGAGTTACTTCATTCGTGTACACATCGACTCATAGAGCGGGCGTTACGATTCAGCGAGAGAATAACAGTGGTAAGGGCAAGTTTTTTTTTCAAGTATTTGATTGGGTGCAAAGATAGAATCTCGAATGAATAAACACAGAAGCGCCAAATTCGATTGCTCAGGATGGATTTTTACGGGCCTCGTATATATAACTATACGTATAAAGCTCGGAGACACGCGTTTGATTTTCATCTGGCATTCGCAAGCTCACCGAGGGCTTTAGTTGTAGGAAAGCTTCACGGAAGAAAAGGCGATTATCCTTTTGGGCTCGAAGTATATGCGCGTCTCTCTCTCTCTCTTGCGTGAAACAAAAACGTTTACTTCGAATAGCCTTAAGCCGCTGCTGCTTATACATGAAGCAAAAAACGTATTATACGTCCTTACCGCAGACTGTAAGAGCTTTTCACGATTGGTACCGAGCTCGAAAAGCTCCCATGCACAACGTATCTTAACGAATGGCCTGAGCCACGCGCGAGTTACCTTTCGGTCGCGTTTTGTCTCGGATTCATCACTATCGTGCGTGTAAACACATGTGTATGTACGTTATTATGCGATATATGTACATAACGAGATTCAGCGTAATTCCATACCGGCCTCCGGCACGCCGTATCATATAATATATGCACACATAGCATATTTTTCACTGTGAGCTTACGCGCGCTCGAAATTCGCTTCACCTTTTATCCTTTATTCGTCCGGGCGCTTGTATTTCCGATACAATATAACCCTCTGAATAAATATGACGAGAAAGAGAAACGTCTCTCTGTTCTCTCTCTCTCTCTCTCCTCCCCCACCCTCTTATCATCTTGCCCCACTGCTCAGGCTTCTCTCCTCTTCTGTATCCTCGTCCTTCGTTTCTCTCTATCTTCTCGCTTTCTCTTCGAAATCCTTGATTGTTAATTCAGTCGCTTCGAATAAATGTATGTACAGCAGCACCAGGGAGCTCCGTCGGGGCTCTCTTTCTCTCTCGTCGATGCAATTACGTATTCTATATACACAGCCGTGAGGTTATTATGGAAGTCAGAGGAATCGAAAAACTATTTATCAATTTATTGAGGCAGTTGGATGATATAAAAAAAGAAACAGGATCGGATTACGGATACTCTATATAGCAGTCTTAGAGTTTGCCTACGGCTTAAATATACATAATTACGGCATCTAAAGTTGGGAAAAGCCATGAACAATGTGTCATTGTGTAACGAGCGGACCAACAAAAAGCTCTCTCGAGTCCCAGAGGATTTTTGTATTTTATATGTGGATACTTACACGAACATCTCCCCGTGTCAAAAAAAAGTATGGCAAAAGTGCCGCAAAGGTCTGGCATAGAAGTATGGCCAAAGTCTCGCTTTGCCCGCTATGCCATACTTTCATACAGACTTGAAAAGGACATTTAAAACAGTTTGGCGAATTTGACAGAATTTTCGGCAGACCTTTTTCTCTAGAAAATCGCGAATTTTCCGAAGTCTGGCGAAATCTGCCAGACTCGCACCCTGACTAGTTGCTGTAAATAGTATATTTTGCACCTAGAGACTCGCTTTGGTCGTGATGCTAATGTCGGGGGCGAGCATCAAAATCCGAAGCTTAATTACAGTCGTATTTTAAAATTGAGTATGACTCGTTACGCTCACGATGCAAAAAATGAAGGATAAAATTCGTAGCACATGTAACTGATTTTGTGTAAAAGTCAATAATAACCATAACCACTTTGTTTTCTGTACAATCTAACGACAAATCAGGACCTCGATGCGAAAGAAAAAACAAATACAAGTCCTTATGTGCATTGAAATCTTGGATTTATTTTTTTATTTTGAATTTATTTGGATAATTTTATGAAAACTTTTGAGCGGGGAAGGAAAAAAATACTATTTCTTACACGGTTACTTAAATCTACTATTTTTCTTTAATCTTCTGTAGATGACTCTCAAAGATTCTGAGAATGATGAAAGCACGTAATCCAATGTAAAATTATACGATCTTTCAAAATCCAGCTCCAAATTTGAGATTGATGCATTGTTTTGAAAGTTATAACCAATTATATGCCAAAAAACGTGGTTTTTGCATGCTTCGAGAAAAGTTAATTCAATTCTTCAAGAAAACGGCTTAGCTTTATCACTCATAGGAAAAAAAGCAATAATTAATCTGATAGGCATTCATCTCGCCTTTCCAATGCCGTTTTTATACTTTAAAAGTTTCTCAATTTTGCTGAGATACAGTTATTTTTGTGGGGTGCGTTTTTATAGTTTAAAATCCAATAATTCTGCTTCTCTCGAGTTATCAACAAACCATATTTTACCTCAATTTTCATTACATTCCGAGGACACAATTGATTATACTGAGCCGAAATTGAAACAAACTGTTCTGAGATATTATTTGCATGTAATAAAAGTATTAAAGTTATTCGGATAATATGTCTGAATATTTGTAGATTTTAAGGACAATTTAATTATGAATATAAACTACTCGACTACTGTATCAATCCAACGATTGAGTCTAGAAGTCATGACTATTGGTTTCAAACATTAAACAATTTTATGATTATGAAAACGTCGAAAAGTCTGAAAGTGTACGTCACTCACTATCCAATATAATGCATACTATACTTTATTTTACCAATGATCATAATAATCGCACGAAGCAAAAGCTGCCTTGTTCTTTTTCTGATGGATTAATCTCAATATATTTTTCAAAATAACTGTATTTGAATGCAGGATTGAATTTTATGGATTGTAAAAAGGTAATTAAAATAAGTAAAAACCATATGTTGCATGCAAAAGTATGATTTTTTTTTTAATAATTCATGTAAATTTTAATTATGACTTGTCGTCTACATGTATGAACGATTTCACATGAGAGACTGTTGAACCATTCAATGTTTTCATTTTACTCGTTTACAACGATTAACTTATATAACAATTACATCAATACGTGTATCGGATTTAAAATTTATAATTTATAACTACTTTATATACAGATACTAAGTCCACAGTGCCTAAAAACTTGATGACTTCATTTTGTATATTCACGCTCACCCCATTTTCGATTGCCAATAAAAACTTAAAAAATCCGTAGGTGGCATGCTATTGTCAACCATCCCATTCGGATCGGCACCATTTTTCAAAAGTAGTTCGATTACTTTTCGGTGTTTCAAGTAACTATTCGCTTCATGAAATGCAGAATATCCGTCATCATTTTTGATATTTACGTCTATTCCACTTTTTAACAGCAGTTCAACTGCTTCTAGAAGGAATGGATTATTTGCTGCATTGTAGTAAAAGATAATATGTAATATTGTATCACCCCGGTGGTCGACAAGTGTGACATCGGTTCCGTTTTCAAGTAATAACTTGAAAACTTCTAAGCGTAATTTGTAATTTTTTGCCCCACGAAATAAATTCATTATAGGACTGTGACCGTCTTGATCTTGGATATTAACGTCGGCATTATACTGAATTAAAATTTGAATCATTTTTAAGTGGACCCTTGTAAAGCAAGGTTGACTGCATAAAAAATTCAGAGCTGTCATGTCTTCGCCATCAACCATATTTGGATTAGCGCCGTTTTTCAAAAGCACTTCAAGCGCCACTGCAGTGTCTGGATTTGCTGGATTATAAAGAATAATATTTCTGAATATAGTTTCACCATCGTTGTTGACGAGTGTGACATCGGCTCCGTTTTTCAGTAGTAATTCCAATGCCTCGATGCGTAATCCCATACCATTAGATTCATTATATTCCTTATTAAACAGAATCATCATCGGACTGTTACCGTCTGCATCTTGTATATTTACGTCGGCACCATACTGGATAAGAAATTGAATCATTTTCAAATGGATCTTCGTCAACTTATGTTCAGAACATATAAAATGTAGAGCTGTCCAGTCAAAAGTATAATAAACCTCATTTGGGTCGGTACCTTTTTTTAATAAGGATTCCATTAAATCTAAATTTTGCGCATCAACGGCATCGAGTAGGGATTTTAACTCACAATCTTCGAGAGACATGGTTTCACTTTAGTTTTTGACCAGAAACACTTTAACGAATTAATAGCTCCGAGCCGCTTTCAATACGACGGAAAACTGTTATTTAGTCGTCAAATTGAATAAACTGCCGACTCTTCTGTCATCCCCTCTACTGATTTTGTGTATCTTATGTTGATTTCAAGAGTTTCCTTCTATTAACATGATTACTACTGCTGTTTTTGAAATATAAATCGTTAACGTATCGTCTCTAATTCAAATATCAAACTAAAACCTATAAATACATGTATTTTTGTTAGCTCCTTGACGATATTTCGAATGAAACCAATTACATGAACTTGATGAATCAGATTCATCCATTCCATAGTCAACAATTCTTAATATGCATTCATCGGTATACATTCAAACACAAATTCCAATTATATTATTGCAATAATCAGCTCGTAAAATGTAAGCTGCAAAGCACGCGCGGCTGCTTTTAATCGTTACGAAGAGAGAGAGAGAACCTCGGCCGATAATCCCTAGGACATTATTGTTGTTGTTATAATACTGTAGAATTAAACAGCGGTGTGGTGACTCCTTGGAGACAAACGCTGAAATTCGTATACAAGCGAGAGAGAGAGACTAATTAAACGACTGCGAGTCGTGCACACTCGACTCGCACCGTATACAGGCAGTATTTACATATAAATCATCTAAAAGGGTAGCAAGAGATATACACAACTCGAGAGAGAGTCGACAACGCCCGCAACGCACTCCACTGCTCATAATCTTATCCAAAAGCTCGGGGAGCACAGCAGATCGACGCCCAAGTTCTTGCACAAGTTAGTAGCAGATTTCGGAAATTGTCGATTTTTCATGCAGCACCTTTGCATGTTTTCTAAACTTAAACTCGAATAAGAGGATTTTATCGATACGGACAGGCGTCGAACGAACGGCAATTGCCGCGATCCTTGACTCGAATAAAATTTTATGCATATACCTAGCTACGTAGCATGCATATACGTGCACTCGGCGCTTGGCTGCTACGTACGTTAACGCATATTGTAGTGCGCGGGACAAACCCTTTTAATCAATTAAACATGAATACAGCTTTCGAGGAGAGACAGAATAGGGTAAAGAGCATTGACCACCAACGGCACCGACGGACCTTTTACGCGCCCCTCCTCCCTCGACTAATAATATGCATGATTCATCGGCTTGATGTATACCCGTATTATATCTCTGTAATAATATAAAATGTAATATTATAAAATGGATACATAAAGCTACTCAATATACGCTTTACAATGTGTTTTAAAAAAATATCGAAATATATTTAATCCTCTTACACGCAGACAAGTTATAAATCCGACAAAATGGGAAAATTACAAAAGTATAGGTAACCAAGCGATATCCACCCTTCGCTTGCGGCTATCCCTTGGTGGTAGACGACATTGACACGATCGTTGCCCTGCACGTACCTACGCCTATCAATTTTCAAGTGCGCCAATCGTCATTTCCCAACGCGATTCGTATAAATTTGAGCATTCACAAATGTTGTACGTTATCGAGTGACTAATTAGTCCACTGAATGCATCGAAAAAAGAAAGGCACTCGGTATAATTAGCCAGAAGATAGACGTGAATTGATATCTCGACTTGGTAATTCGTTAACATGGAGCGTCGACGAGCTTGCGCGCATTGTTATCCTTCTTTCTTCAACGTATACTGTCAATTCGTTCGAGCAGAGATCAGCCTATAATGAATTCCCATTTCAATTTGTCTACTTTCGTGCAGAATAATATATATTGAAGAGATGGATATACAAAGGAAATAGTTCTATTATGCGCGTAAAGTCGTAAGACCGTCCCGATCTCGCTTAGGCATGTAGGCTATTTGTTTATTTGTATTGAACCAAAGTATAGGCAATCGCGGATCGTATAGTCACGCGCGCCCAGTCAATCTTTTGAAGTTTTTTTTATTTACTCTTCCTTCCTTTGGGCAAAACTTGAGAGGGATTTCTATCTTTATTCGCTTTGAGAAACTTTACGCATGTATATTGGGCTCTTGGGACAGGCACGCATGGGCTTTTTCTTCGTTTCGCGCCAGTTCCTAGCTCTCGCTCTTGCAGCGCCTTATATATACTTGTACATCCGTGTAAGCTCTCATACGGAGAGTTAAAAAGAAAGCTTATGTGCTGCCGGGTGAAGTACCGAGAGAAAGTTATAATTGGCCATATGTTAGATTGAACAGAATAGAGAGAGAGACCGAAATCGAGAGCGAGAGTGTGAGATGCGTGCAATTCTGAGCTAACCCTCCTGTATACGACAAATGAATGAGAGCCGGCTAGCAGCAGCATCCAAGTAACGCCCCTCTCTTGCTCTCTCTAATCTTTCCAAGCGCGTCTGTTCGATTTCAATTAGTAATTTTATTACGTCTTTCTGGAGCTTTTCATCGTCATCTTTTTGCAGCCAAAGCCGAAGTGAATAATTGAAGGAAAAAGCTCTTATTTTTTTTTCACTTTTGTCCGAGGTAATTAATACGAATTTAGAATTCGATGAGGAAAAAAGATGAGTTTATACCTCGTGAACGTATAAAATCGTATAACGTCGTGTCATGCTCATATTAGCACAAAGCTCCGAGTAAAAGCTCGTGCAAGACAAGAAATTTCGCGTGCCAAACGCGTATAGGCTCGCATTAAGTATGGTCCCAAAGTGTGTACTTTCCACACACGGAGTGCAAATCTCAAGAGTGTAATGTAATACGCGCTAGGCGGCGTAAAGAGGCATATCCTCTCGCAAAATAAAGAAGGCAATCGCTTCTCTTTTCTTTCTCTCCTTCTAGCTCCCTGCGTATATAAAAAAAATAACCGACCCCTCTGCGGTACTAGAATAGAAGCGATTCAATTATATTATATGCCTCGAACCACTGCTACTTTTTCCTCTCCTGCTGCCCCGTCTACTGCGTCTACTTCTACTACTGCTGCGGAGTAGAAATATGGCTATAGGTGACGGTAACCGCGTTAACCCTCTGTTCGCGCACATAAAAGAGATCAAGGAGCTTTTCCGCTTTTGAAAAATAAAATAAGCCCGAGCGCGTATACGAGTATATGCGTTGCAGCCACATGAAAGGGAGGCAATATGCTCAAACTTTTTCCGACTCTATATGGATTTCGTTTGTTTTTTTCTACATATGTGTGCAAAGTACACGTGATGCTATAGTTGTACCTATCATATAACTTCACTCGAACTGACCGTCGAGCAGCATCGAGCTTTTCCAGGATATATTATCTTGCTTATTTCACGTATAATTGCATTACCCCGCGAAATTCGATAAATTTTACATTAAAACATAAATTCAATGCATAACGTGATTTTGATGGACTGCAATATTACAATAAGTGTGAAATCAGGCAGCCTGAGTGCAATTTAATTGAGGGATCATAAATTAACATGATACTTTTTATGATTTTGTTTAAAATTTCGAGTCACCTTATTGCAAATACCTACAGGAGTTTTATACATTGCTACTTCTCTCACACGCACAGGAACTATCTTTTAGAATTATGCTATTTATGGAAAAAATCGTAAAATTTATCAGTTACACGAAGACACAAGTTCATGAAAAATTTTGCAGGGAAATTTTTCTAACCATCCGCCGTATATGACGTTGAAAAATGTGCCAAAAGCCGTTTTCAGAGTGAAGAATATCGATCGCTCGAAAAGTGACAATAAAACTATTAAAAAAACCAGGAGAGAATAGAAGGGAAAAAGGGAACCGAGGCCCGGCGAGAGTGAAAGAGAGAAAGAGAGAACGTGTGCACGAGTGAAGAGAAGGGAAACGTCGATGTGTGTGCGCAAGAGCGTGTAATTAACTTGGAACTCTCGTGGCGGGCGCGCCTTCGAGCTTCGGGCTGCCATATACCTCGGAGCTCTAGCGCACGCGTCTCTGTGTAATTATTTCGATGGAGCTGAAAAGCTTCGCGCAATAAAACAGAAGTAAAAATATTTGCCCCGAAGAGAGAAGAGCACTCCATTGGTGATTTCCGTGTAAAAGAATGTTTGGACGCGCAGCGAGTATAACAAGGCTGCAGCGCGAGTCGCAATACGAACTTGAGCTTCCAGTTCCTTTTTATGCGCTTTTATACGCTCGCTATAAACACATCTGGCTGCTACATTTATCGAATCACTCGGATTAAATATGAATATTGTACAATCATCGAGGCGCAAAGGGTACGGCAGACTCGGGCTAGGATAATTACGACTCGAGTATAAAATTTGACTCTGCTTCGTGTCCCGTTAATTGAAAACTCGAGGCGCGGACCAATGCGCGTTTCCCTCGATTCTTTCTCGTTCTCCGCCGCTAGTATATAAACGTGTACAGTCGCGTATTTCATCCGAGCTTTTTTCGAACTACTTGTTGGACTTGAAGTAATAAAGTATATACAATGGTCTTGAATATAGAAAAGGGGGAGGTGCCCGTACTCGTAGAAAGGCAACAATCACCCTTGACTAAATACGTAACTAAGCTCCTATTAAGTTTGCTTTAACCTATATACATCCTATACTTATTTCCTCGCTAATTGAATTCTTGATTATAATTTTTCTTGCTCGTCCTCATCCGCAGCGGCGTGAATTTTTTTTAATTTGTTTTTCGACTGCTGCTGCCGTCAACGCTACACGGCATGCATTGAATACAATCAAGGAAAAGTCTGTAAACTTATTTATCTTTCACGATGTTATTCGAGCTGCGTGGGTTTTAAAAGTTGATGGATTCTCCCGGCATCGATTATTGCTGCGTGGCGGGCGCGCGGCCTGATTTGAATAAAGGAGCTAGAGTGGCCCGGCGCGCGCGTCGTCACCGCCGTAGCGTATTTAGAGAGATTCGATCGTTATGTATGTTCTAATCGCATATGTACACCCCTTCGGATACATATATAATGGATGGAGATACATGTATAATAGATTTCCCGGTGTGAAGGTCCCTTCCGAATAATCGGGCGAGCGCGCGAGTCGTATTTGCATTTCAGATTTCGTGCACGGCTGCGCTTATACTGCGTGGGTGTCGAGTTGAATAATCACGCAAAAAAAAAACCAACACGCGTATTATATGTATTCGTGCATACACATCCGACCCGTCATTCATCCACGAATATAGGTAGACCGCGGGAGCTTCGAGTACTTGGATCTCGAATGCTATACTGCACGTAGGCGTGTGTGCTCCAATATTCTCGAGGGACGATGATACGCGTGCAGCCTTTGCATCGATGACGACGACGACGACGATGGCTTTCCAACACGCGTTTATGAGCACACGCATACTTACGAACGCTCGTATACCGATGCATTCTCGTCTCGTGCACATGGTCATCGAGTGAAATACTTCGCAACGGATTGGGCAAAACACACGTCTTGCAAAAAGATTTTGCAATTTAACGCTTATCCCTACGCCCGACGGACAGTTACGGCGGAGATTAGTCGAGCAGCTATTATTATTTTCTCTGAACGTATTATATTTGTCCCTCGTGGCGTGTTTAAATGTACGTTTGTACACATTGACAGTGAACTGAACGAAAAGCTCAACTCCCACGTATGCGCGCCCGTGTACAAAGTTTCAGGCTAGATTAACGTCTTGTCTCGCCCGGAGAATGCCTTTAAATTAGTTAGTAACTTTCAACGTACGCTCGGAAAAGCCTAATGAAGTTCTAAGAGCCGACTAAACTGCCGATAGTTTCTCCTCGTTTCTATTATATTTGAATAAATTTGGCTTTTATACTCTGAACTAATATTAACAAAACAAAAGAAAAAACAAACTAATAAGAATCGATAAACATTTGCAATAATGTCAATATCTAATTAGCTTATAAAAAGTATTTATTTACCGTAAACTCGCGCTCAAATTCATACGGCTGATAATTCATATTTGCTTGAATAATTCAGGCATCAACGTATAAAAGTGAAAATGTACCGACGCTACATAATAATGCATATTGTTTTTTTTAAGGTAGCTTTGCCTTTGTGTCACAGCCGTTTCTTTCTCTTCTTCTTTTTTAGCTGTCTGCTTCGTTTTGAGTTCGTAGCCTGTTTTTACGCCAGTATAAACTTACGAAGCGAAGAAAAAAGACAAATACACTTTCGTTGATAATTTATTTACAAAAATAATGACGTAATGAGCGAGTGCAATAGAAACAAATCGACTGGAAAATGATCAGAATATTCGCTCGGCATAGCTGTAACGGATCTTATAATGGATGATTATAGGTGATAAATTATAATTCAACGTATAATTTATTACATACCATTTGATATATTTTTATTGAGTGCCTTGCAGATTTTTAAGCTCATAATATAATTTTTTTTATAAATATGCGTCTGGTTTTTAATTTTAAAGCCTAAAATATATACGTACATATTTCAATATTGTTCAATTTTCTTCCATCTCGTCTGAATAGCTTTTTCGTTCTGTATTATGAGAATAATATGTATTAATGTAAAGCGATAGCCAGTATCGCCGACTATCCACTATCATAAAAATATGCACCTTCATCAACCAATGTCATTTTTTATTAATTCATTCGATTAAAATTAAATTACAGGCTGAATTATCGTTTTCTTCTACAAAACAGGTGTTTAATAAATAACCATGCGTTTTAATAAATTTAACATAAATTTTGCAATGCCTTTATTTAAAATAATAGCAATTGGCGCGAAACAGAGATAATATTAATTCTAAAATGCTATTTTTTGCACGATTTTAGCTTGCATCACACACTAGATCGAAATATTTCTTCACTTATAATACAATATCTTTTCATGTAACAAAGTTTTTCCAACCTGTCAACATCATCTCAATTACACGAGAAAAAAAGGATTCTCTTATTATTATTCTACTAAATTGATCGTATAAACAATAGTTAATTGATTAAAATTCATTCATTCGTTGCATTCTATTTTATACAATCTCGCTTAGTAGTCTCTGCGAAAACTGAGTGATAAAAACAGTAAAATCACTGTGACTAGTGAGCGCGTACCCAAAAAAAATTAAATAAAAAATTTCTAACTGGTATACATCGAAGTAACACATTTTTCTCTTGGTTTTCCTTCTAAAAAATATCATTGCTGTATTATAAATTTAATTTTTTTCAGGCTAAACGTTCATCAAAAGATTTTAACGTACATTATTAATTGTATTCTTAATAAAGAAACAAAATACCTAAGTATAAAAAGAGTCTTTGACAAAATCGTAAACACAACAATTTACAATGTTCTTTCCTTATAAAAAGATAAAAGTTTAAAATTGCAACTATTTATATGAGACAAAAAAATGCTTAGTCCTAAATAAACCATAGAAAGACAAACAGTTAAGAGAAAAATCAATCGTAACGGATCATCATAACGTGTCTGAAATATAATATATTTAATTTACCGTTACAATAGAACTCCATAAGAAATCTTGAAATAAATTTTTTCTGCTTTTAGAAGTAGAGATTACTCATGCTTGACTGGTACCATTATATTTTAACAAAAATTAAGCTAATGTAAATTTTTTAGGCGCGATTTTCTTAAATTTTTTTTTATCACACACATATGTGCATTTATTTACATACAAAGATAATCCAATACTAAATTAGTCTTTTAGTATTAAATATGTTGTTAATGTTAATTTTCTCATTGTGATAAAATGTCTAATAAACCATGAATTAGTAGTTGCATCGAATGATCTTTTCACTTAATTGAGTGTGCATATAATTCATGTAGTACTTTTACACCGACATACATTTATTATTACTTCACTAATGTATAATCATTAATTAACACTATTTTCAGTGTGGGCATCATCAACAATGTTCATACACATTTTTACAGAGTGTTGGAGCAATTGAAGTCTACATAGAAAAATTGACTGGCTAATCCGTGTATTAATCACATAGTTCACGTCTATGCCCGTTTAGCTAGTTATTTCCTCTCTTCAATTGTCAACTTGTCGCATCCATTTATGTATTTACACAGTACTCTATAAAGTTAATTTTCCAACAAAAGCACATTCGCAATGAGAACTTTTAATAATTATAACATTTAGGTGGTTACGACAATATTGCACCTCGACCAGAGATAGCATATAACCATTGATAGAGAATTATATGCTAATCTCTTGCTCAGAATCGTCGAAATTCAAATTGAAGTTTATGGATCAACTTCAGCAGCTTCATTTTTTAATTCCATCCCTTTTTTCTGATCTAGATTTTCATCATTGTAACAGAAAATCAGTCTAGTTTAGGATAACAGATCTGAAAATAAATAATTATAAAAACTATTAGCCATTACCATTATAATTCAACATTTTATTAAAGAAATCGCAACACCTACCCGGTAACTGATTATCTTGTTGTTTGCTCACAAATGGATCTTGATGAAAAGAATTTGTGTTAGCTATACCGAAACTAGGAGTAAATTCCATTGCTGCTGGGTTTAAGTTGGAATTCAAATTGTCCTCGTTAGTCATTAGCAAAATTTGATTGCTTGTGTTGTTACTATTATTGGTATCACTCAGCATGTCAAATTCCGACAAGTCAAGCAGATTATTCGTCACATTGTTCTGCTTACTGCAAATGGAAAAGGCCCAAACCCAAAAATATTATATAATAAAATATGAATGATTAATAAAGGTATATGTATAGCTACTAGGTAATAGGTTAAGAATACTTCTGAAGGAAAAAAAAATGAAAAAATAAATAAAGAAGGTTGTAATTATAATGCTCCGTAAAAACACAGAATTAAATAAAATAAAAAATTGTAAACACACAGAAATGTCTCATAAATATTTGTTTAAAATAGATTAAACAAAAAGTTCTTGCTTATTATAAAAACTTAATACTCTACTTAATTATAAATGTATAAATTGATTCAATCTAGTCTAATACTAAAAGTTTTTTTTCATTATTTCTATTGAGTATTAAAGTCAGTAAATTTATACATGTATCACAGATTTTTATCAATTCTAAAAGTTTGTGATTTAAACTTTCATTAATTTTTTTTATAGTACACGGCAAAAGTAGACATCAAGTTGACATGAAAGTATAATAGTAATATTTTAAAACTACTTTAAAATAAATTTGATTATCTAGACGGTTTCAGTTTTCTCACTTTTTTTGAAAAAAAATTGTTTAACATAAAATATAGAGAAATTAAAGATGTGTAAACAATAATTAGTAATTACATGCATGAAGGTGTACATAACACTATTAATGATAACAAATGAAAAATGATCAAATATTTAAAAGCGTGCATGAAGATAAAGGATATTCAATACATTTTTCAATGTTCACCGTCAAAACGATTAAGATAGTTTGAGGTTTTTTTAGGGCTTGAATAAGAGCTCATTGAGTAACATTTTGTACGTTTCAGTGAATTTATTAGTTTTTTATTAAGCTCTTGAAAATTTAAATGAAGTTATAATAAACCAATCCAAAGACGATTCAATTAATTTATACTATTGATCTTTTACTTTACATTATTTACATATTTTTATTATAATTCTTTATATAACCACGCACGACATTTTCTTTTTTTTTGAGTTATAAATTCGTTACTTGCTGCTCACCTGGAGGTTATTTCAATGCCGTGAAGGCTAACTGATAATTTAGCATAATTCAGATTATTATGTGCAACGAGTCCCTTGCGAGCATTAGACAAACCATTTCATATTCCTAATTTTTAAGGGACAATACCAGTTACCCCGCAACTTTATCTTTTAAATTCAAAAAATCGTTTTCTTTCATAAGAAATGGCGTATCTGTAGGTTTCATATAAAAGTGCTGTACGAAGCATTTCATGGAATAGTTTTAACACAAAAAATCACAAGCTTACAATATTGTTATAGTATCTAACAGTTGTAATGTAAAATACAACTGCCCCTGCTTTTTGATATTACTATTTATTAAGAAGAAAATTAGTTTTGCCTGATCAAACATCGTCAATGTCAAAAGATGAATCAATTCCATTAGATAGTGATGTTATTCATTTGATTATGTGTTCGACATTCTTGAAACAATACGATTTTTTAGTGCTCAATATTTTTTTCGGATACAATCTAGGCATATACATGAATGTGATTAATGTACAATTGCAATATACAGTTAATTTGGTTAGTGTTAGTTGCATTATTAATTAATTTAATGGCGGCAGTATAATCAAAAATATATATATTATTACTGAGTATTGATAGTTCTTATGCTTGTTTATAATCGTTGCTATTATCATTCATTTATAAAATAGTCAACTTTAATGGCTACTTTTGCAATGTACAGCAAATATGAAATAAAATTTCATTTGTTTCTAATACTCACTATCTTTGTATCATCTACTACAATCGCAGATAAAAAAATCTAATTTACCGAATATAAATAACAAGTGATAAAAATCGATCGATTTTTCAGTTCCTGCGATTACATTATAATCTATGGTATTCGCACACATTTATTGGACTACCTATATTAAAATTGAGCTGATTTTTTATAAAAAAAATTAAAACTTACGTCTGACTTTTGATAATGAAAGCATGATTTCAAATTTTTAATATTTTTAGCATTACACGGATCAATAGTAGTATAAGCAAATACAATCTGCAACAGCGCTTTTGATCATGTAAAATTTTTGTATATGCTTTTATTAGCATACTAAACACTTGATTATTTAACTAGTTTTTTGGGTGGAATATCGTGACATTTGTTAACGATATTTGAATAATCTATAAAAAAGATATTGTACATTTATCTTTTCACGTGTCTTGCATTTGTGAAAGTTTATTATACAGAAAAATTTTAAAACTTGACGAAGTTTAAACAAAATTTTGATTATTCTTTTTCATTAATGTCTATACATAGAATAATCAATAACCACATTGTACAATTAAATGAACCACTTGGTAGCAAATATTATAACAAACATATTATGGTTCTTTTCTTAAGCTAAACATACTAAAAAGAAACAAAAGTCCTCACAAACACTTTCACAATTCATATAGTAATGTCTAACAATATTCAACATTTTTAAAAATTCGCACATTCAATTATTCTTATTGAACGCGTCGGAGTTACGTTTTCGTTTTCTATATTTTGCACGAAAAAGTACAAATATCTATATTATTATCATAATTTTCCAACGCGCAGCACCAGACACCATTATTTGTTTTATATTTACAATTTGAGTGAGACCAGAACTTGATTGTAAATTTTAGATTATTACTTATACGTGTTCAGTCTCTCTCGGATTTTACTATAATACTACAAATGCATTGGCTTGAAAATAAGTGTAAAATATTCTTCAAATTTATGCTTATTTTTATAACTGCAACAAATTGAAAAATGCATTTAAAATTGAAAAATGTCGTCAAGAAAATGCAATACAAAAGGGACTACAAATTTTGACCTAGTCTCACTCAAAATGCGGTGCGTTTCGTGTAAATATAGTTTAATTTTTTAGCACATAAACGCGTATGAATAATACGGATTCAATTTTTACTAGCATAAAATAAATATTCACACACGCACTCTGTCATTTTCTGAGATGTACTTACACAGTAGCGTTGTCGAGGGAAATTTTTGGTTGAGTTGAGTCGATGCCATTTCCGTGGTGTCCGTTCAACTCCTGGCCATTGTCGACGTTGTCTAGCAGGTTTTGAGTGGGTTTAATTGTCATAGTATTAATTGTAGTTTCACTGGTATTGTTGCTGTCAATACCATTAGAAGCCACATGTGTGCCGTTGCTTATACTCTTTTGACTTGATTCGTCGGAGGAAGAATTATTATCAGTCGCCGTACTTATTGAGGAGTTTTTTTTCTCGTCAGTGATAAATTGTTGAGTTGCCTCAGATATGAGACTAGCTGTCATAAGATCTGGGCTCGTTTTATTATCCTCCTGACCTGGATTTGGTTTCATCTCTTCATTTGGGCTTGTTTCTTTTGACTTTTCACCGTCATTGCCATCATACTTTAAAGACAAATTAATGGTTAAACGAATTTGTAAAAATAAGAATTTTATATGATTTGATATTTAATTGATAATTTTACTTTATTTGATGAATTTGGTTGATTCTTAGCTCGAGTTCTTGACATAATGGCTTCGACGCGTTTTCGCCTGGCAATTCTTTCCTCCTCCTCTTTTTTGAGTTTTTCAACCATTTCAAGTCGTTGTCTATAAAAATAAATATTATTAATTTCATAATAAATAATAGCTTTTATTTTAAAAATATAACCTCAACGAATAAAATTGTAGCAAAATTGGTTTGAAAAAAAAGTTATTAGGTCAAAATAAGCCAGTTAAATTATCACTTCAATCCTTACTTTTCTGCCTCTTCCCGAGCTTTTCGTTCGGCTTCCTCTTTCTCAGCCTTGAGGCGAGCCTCTTCCTCCCGACGTTTCCGATCCTCTTCTTCGCGACGCTTAGCCTCTTCGATGGCTTGTTGTAATCTCTGTTCCTCGGCCTTACGTGCCTCTTCAGCTAAACGCAATGTTTCCTCTTCCAAGCGGCGCTGTTCTTCCTCCTCGGCACGCTGTCTTTCAGCCTCTAGCCTAGCTTCTTCTTCCTGCAATTTTTCAAATCAAAATTTATTGTCTTTATACTTGTCAACAGTTCGAGGATTGTATCAAAATTATAATACGTACAAGTCGCAATCTTTCCAGTTCAGCTTCTCTTTCAGCCTGCTCACGGGCCAATCGGCGACGTTCTGCAAGAGCAGCTTTAGCTTCTTCCTCGGTGGTGATTCTGATCTTTTGAATCATCGATGCTAAAATAGATTAAAATTTAATCATAAAATTTGAATTTGATGAAAGCAATCTAGTGTACGAAACAAGTATATAATTTAACTAACCACTCATATCACAATGTTCATCAATATCGCCTTCCATCGTTGTATCGGCTTCAAAATTTTTCTCTTTTTCTGCAACTGGCTCAACGTCAATTAAATTTTCCTCTTTTTGTTCCTGTTTAGATGATTCATCTTTTGATAGATCGCCAATCAAATTTTCATCTGATTTCGCTGCAACTTCAGCAGACTTTTCTACGGTAACTTCGGGTTCCTTTTGCTCTTCAAGTACATCCTCATTTTTTGGTTTGGAAACCGTTTCCTGGACGATTGGAGGTTGTTCCACTGCTGGACTCTGAAGAGGCGTAGCTTTTGGCGTAGCTCGTGGCGAAGCTCTAACGCTACGTGACATGACTGATGATTTTCTGTCAGCTGATTTAGAAGCTGATGAGGGTGGTGTGACTGTGGACACTGGAGTGGTCGGCTTCTTCTGCAAAGCGTGTACTTTTGGTAGAGGGGGTTTTGAGTCCTTCAGTTGCTTCAATTCACTTGGAGAATCTAAAATTAATTTTTTTTTATAAAATTTCATTTCTTGAAATTGTGAAAATGAATGATTTGTGAGTTTAAATGTCGGAACATAGATGATTTTGGATTTATGTAATTTTTGATAAAAAGTTATCGAAAGTATACATTTCTTTTGGTTAAATACCTTTTTCTGCCGTTTTTTAAAGATTCTAAATATTTTACAATTTCTATTACCAATAGATAATTTGTAAGCGACATACTGGATTGGAAAATTAAATAAAAATATATACGAGCATAAAAACAAACATTTAAAATATATTATATAATATAGTATATAAGCTTTGACCCAAATTATTTTTTAATTATATACACATTTACATGTAACAAAGAAATACTGAAAAATTTACCATAACAAATGTAATACTCATTCAAAAATAGCTTTCTCAATATTTTGAAGCGTAAAATGCATATGTTTCTGTTGTGATTTTTCGTGACATTTTTGTGCCACCTCAACCGAAAGTGGCAATTTTCAAGCTTGTGTCCAAAATAAAATTGCCCCTAATTGCTCCGAAGTTCATGAAAATGCTGTACGTATGAAGGAGAGTCAAGAAAAAAAAAGAAAAAATAGTTTGGCTTCGCCTCAGTTGACAATTTACATGAGATTTTAGTCATTTTTTATTTGACTTTCCCAGCTACGTAACATAATCGAGTATGCGTATGCATGTGTGTGGATGTGTATGATATAAAAGTGGGAGTGCATGCTCACAGCAGCTGACGCTCATGCCAGTGCCGGCGATCGAGGCAGGTCGCGGTCGGCGCGCCGAACCGGTCGTGCGTGGGCGCAAATTGACGCTACTACCACCGGTGGCACCGCTGTTCTGCTGACTCAGGGCACTGGGCGGACGCGACGATGGGCTGTTCGGTGTCACCTCACCGCTTCGCAAACCTATGATCAAGAATTCAAAACAATGGCCCATGGTATTCCAAGAAGTGCTGAACTTTATAATGTATATTACAATACTCTACTTATTTCTTGTATTTTTGCGCAAAAAATATTTTGAGCTTGCTTTCTTTGTTGCTGAATTTTAATTTTTATTTAAACTTCGCAAGCTCGAAAAGCTCTTATTTTCATTATTTATTATAGATATTTCATGTTAATTCGTACAAAAGTATATTGGTGCTGTATAATACATATGTTATTCATAATTTATTAATTATAAGTTAGTGAAATTTTCATTTTCATATTAATCAAATATATATAGAAAATATAAACTGGCTACTCTGAACTACTTGTAAATGGCATGTACTCGGGATGACATGGTATATGCAAATTAAATGCAGCGAAAATGAGTATTAATTATGCGACAAAAAATTAGTACAAATATTATGTTGTTGCTAGGGCAGCTCCACCACCAGCAGCTGAAATTTTCGCGAAAAATGCTTGATAAAAATGAAAAACAAAAATTCATGCAAAACAAAACGAAATTTGATGTTGTTTTTTTTAAAAAGGAATTATTTTCGTTATTCAAAATACAGAAACGTGTGCACTTGAAAATTCGTCGATACAGTAAAACGGTGTTAGTTTTAAGGTCACAGAAAAACATAATCTTCATAATTTTTTATTGTTGTATTAATTTAGGAAAATATACGGCTTACCGAGCAGTTGAGTTAACCGTCACCTGTGGTTTCCAAAAAGCTGGCTTGATTTGTGACTTACATTTTTAAGAGATTATTGAATTTTTTTATGAAGCTTTTATGTAAATCAATCATTAAATACAGCAAAAGAAAATGCACGCGTATTTTAGAGTTTTCATATTTTAGAAACTTGTCATTAAGTTATACATACAGAACATATATGAAGAATATTAGTAAGATGAAATGGACAGTAACTGAGGAGTAATTCACGTACATGTACACAATTGATTCACATAAAATGTTCGGCTCAACAGTTACATGCATTATAACGTAGATACGTATGTGCTCCCTGCGCGTTATTATCATTAAAAATCGGAAATTTTTTTTACAAAAAAAAACAGTTACAAAAATTGAAAAAAAGTTTCAAATGCTTGCAAAATATTGAAAAATGTTAATAGTCGCTGATTCGGCAGTGGAAATGTTAGTTTTATTTAGGATAATTACATCTACTTCTGTTTATAATTACCAAGATACACAGTGATTTCCAAAGATTTACGAATACTTTATACAATGAATCAAAGATTGAAATAATGGTCATAAAATAATAATTAAAAAATTTTATTTTTCTTAATATCTGAATGATTTTGTAATATTTTTTTCGTTAGACTATGCAAATACGGAAACAAGTAGTATGCATTTTGTAGATTGTATACAAGAGGGGGGCAGCACAGTGACGCAATAGAAGGAAGACAAAGGCGGGCGACAGTGCGTGCGACGGATGGAAGGAATGCAGAGCCTTACCTGTTGCCTGTTGAATTTGATGTTCGCGAGCCTTGCGTCTCAATCTCTCGGCCCGAGTGGGCCTGGGAGTCGTGACGAAGTTATGATGATGATTAGCTGCAGTTAGCGCGGGCGCGTCCAGCAACAGATTGTTATTGTGCTGTTGGTGATGGTGATGCTGCCCGGAGCCAGGCAGCGTACCCATGCTACGCGAGTTATTATCGTTACGTTTTAATAGGCCGGTCACCGGTGCCGAGCGTCTAACTGCAGAATTGCTAGTAGTAGTAGTAGAGGTAGCCAGATGCGACATGCTGCGGCTCATGCTCGAAGCGGCCAAACTGCTGCCGCCGCCGCTGGCCGCGTGCTCGAGCAGGCTGGCCGCAGCCGCGGCGGCAGTGGTAATGCGTCGACGTGGCTGTGCCAGTTGGTCGAGCCTAGACATTGAATACGTCCTACCTGGACCTGCGCTGCTGCCCCGTAGACCACCGGCGGACGACGGCGACGATTTGGCCAGGCTGGATGAGCGACCGCTCGATGTGGGCGTCAATAACTGCTGCTGGGGGTCGCGCGGCGAGGGCAACGTCGGTACCAGATCCGTGCGGCGACGATTCGCGAAACGCGTCGCGCAACCCGCTGCTGGGATCCCGTCGTTATCGTCACCTGCTTTACAAGGGACACAAAACACCATCTCTGATCAGAAATACTGGTCTTGCTCGTCGGAGGCTCATTCAGCTCGTGCTTGAATGACGCGCGCGCCCTTGGACGTAACTGCTTCGCTGTTAGTGCGCGTGTGAGCTTTTTCGCGCGTTTTCGTTGTACAATGATATTATTATTTTTTTTTTGTTTGTTTGCATTCAGTGTAAACTACAAATACAATGCATTTTATTTTATTTGAGCGAGTCATTTCACTCACAATGTGGACATTCCTGTAGCAACTGATTGTGTCTCAAGAATTTGCAATTCATCTAAAGAATTTGCAGTTTGATGCGATAGATTTATACGCTATGCATGCATTACAAATTATTGACAACTACTAATTTGAACTACTTTTTAAAATATAATGCATATTCTAAAACATAAATAAGCGTCGTTTTATTTATTAGCCACACTTCTTTACAGCGCGTTAATACTTATCTTCGAACTTGTTAAATCAATTTTTTAAGAATATAATTTTATTAGATTTTAATAGAACACTAGGTGAATTAGCTTGCTACATGTTAATATGCGATGAGTGACTGAAAATTGTCAATCATATTGTTTAATGTTCAAGAAAATATTGAATTCTACTTGTGTCGAATAAATGTGTAGATCTAAAAAAATAATATGAACAAGACAGAGACGAAAAAGACAGAGATAGATGTATAGAGATAGAAAAAAAATTATTATTAGCAAATAAAGAAAATCTAAGAAGCTTTGACAATAAATTTGACGACAAAAAATAATGTGATATCGATAAAATAAAAATTTGACGAAGACACTGTTACAAAATGGAAGATATTGCCAACGTCAATTTTAACGATACAAGTTGAAAGCAAAAAAGGAGAGTTTCATGCTGCCTTTCATATCAGAAGGTATTTTCGGGCACTGGTTTGAAAAAAATTGTCTTTCGAAAATTTAAATCAAGCTCAATGAAATTATAAATAACCAAATAATAGAGAGAAAAATATAAGTGATTCTCTAAGTACGATACATAACTAAAGTAAGAAACAATACACATGAAATATAGACTTTGAGAATTTGAAACTTTTAATAAAAATATTTATAGAAGAAAAGAAATAATAGAAGTGAAAAATAGCAAACTGAAAAGATAATCAGATTGTTCAAGTGAGTAAAACACACGCACACGCACAAAACTCACAGATCACGATGGAAAAAACAATACAAAGTATAGAGTATACAAAATAAGCAAAAATTGGCTTGATTGCTAAAATATTCAAGATATTGCTTGTTCATTTTTTTCTTGCTTATGGCAATGGAAAACTCACCACGCAATGACATAGGACGTCTCGGTTGATCGTCAAACCTCGACGATGACGACGGATTATCATCGTAAACAGAGAAGAAGTCGGCAGCGGTAGTAGGGGTCAAAGCGAGACTGGCTCGTTTGTTAGTTTTATAATGAGGCGTGATAGATTCGTTCACGCTATCGTTCCAATTGAACACCTCGTACATGGACGAGGACATTCGCATATCTGTAAAAACAGGTCCATGTGCACGCACATTCATACCGTTTTGATCTTTTCTTTTTGTAATAGATTTTGTTGAAAGATTTCGTGAAAAATGTTCAGTTAATTTTAATTTTATTACAGAATTTTATTATAAATTTAAGGACTTGTAAAAAACCTGAATTACTCGAAAGCCAATGACGAACTGCAAAATAAATAAGAAGTAACGTGACTACCGTGTCTTTATTATTACCGTATACATACGTTTTGCACAAGTGCTTTCCAAACCAAAAGAAGACAAGTGATTATTCAAGTAAATATTTGACAAGAAAACCTACGAACCTTAGATATCGGTAATTTTTCGTAAGATAGACCAAGACACGAAATACAAAAAAATTAAGAGTATAAATAAACCAACATGGAAAATATTTGCAATAAAGAAGTTTACAATTATGAGTGCCATCACCACAGAATTAAAACCCAAGAAGAGCAGAAAATTTGATCGAGTGCTAGTTCTTTGCGCAAAAAAGATTTATTGAAAGGTATCCAATGTGAAAAAAAAATCGTGTCGATGATTTGGTTATCATTGTTTTCCATGGTATATGATTGCAGCTGATAAATTTGATTAAATTTTTGCAATATTTTTCATACGTTACTTTATGACTTTTATTGCTTTAATATGTATAAATCTAACTACGAAACGAGCAATAATTAAAATTTAGCAGACTCCACATAGTCGAACGAAAAATACACTTCAATAGCTGATTTCTTGACTACAAATGAAAAAAAAACTTGCTTCAAGACGAAGAGAAAATAAACGTTCATAAACTAATGTGAATAATGAGAAATATGCGTTAAAATGCAATTGCTCCCGAACTTGGAAGCTATGAATTGTAAACATAAATTTTGAATAAAATAATGCTGTGTTACTCACATTGGTAGAAGTAATCGACACAGGAGCTTCAGTACTTTTATCATTTTATATATTTGTATGTTTAAAACGACAATTAAGAACAGCAACAATGGCAAATGGGGTAACAAAAAAATAATCAGCCAGAGAGCACAGTGATTTGGTTTTAATGAAAAGATAATATCTGTATATATGCGGCGCGTAGCTCATAAATGAGTTATACGCCCGGAAAGGGGGCCACTAGACATAATACTCACGTTATCAGGAGAACCCATATTTCTTGCGGCGGTAAACAAAAGACGGGGAGCAACAAGGGGGGCAGGGGAAGGTCGAAACAGAAAAAAAATATGTACGGATGAAAGCTCACCAGGTTTCCTGTCGAGGCCACCGGCCGAAGTCGCCCGCTTCTTGCTACCACCGTCCAACTCCCTCTCCGACGATCTTCTCGTCAGCGTAGAGCCATGATTACTGGCCTGGTGATGATGGCTCTGCGCCGCGGGCGACGAGCCGACGGCCGAGTAGGACGAGGTCATGACGTTGGTAGTAGAGGTGGCGCGTCTCGTGGCCCAGTAGCTGCTGCTGGCGGCGGCTGCGGCGCTGCCACCGGTGTCTGCTGGCTCGAGCATACGAGGCGTCGAGCTGCCGAACGCGAACACGATCTGCGAGCGCTCGTTCTTGCGCTTCGCCTCGATGCGAGCCTCGCGCTCCTGATTTTTCCGTATTATAGCCTCGCGACGCTCGCGCTCCGCTTCCCAGAGCTGGCGTTTTCGCTCCTCCACTTGACTTCGCCTGAAACGTGCAAACATTCATTTCAGCGTCGCTCGTCTTGAGCGTGTTTTGCGACGGTCTGATGGGTAATAAGAGAGAAACCTTGCGGGAACGGTGTTACTTCACGATGCTTGTATTATGTAGGGCTTCTTTCGAAGTCTACTTCAAGCGACATTCGAAAAAAAAAAGAAAAAAAGAAAACGGTTATAATATAGGGTGCACGTGTATTATGCGCATACCTGTCGGAATCGCGAGATCTGAGTTCTTCGATGCGCCGTCGTCGCTCCTCGTCTCGCTGCTCGCGAAAGCGCTGAGCTGCCAAGGCCTGTTGGCGAATTTCCTCGAGCTTGCGTTGGCGTTCCTCTTGCTGACGCTCGCGCACCAGCTTCGCTCTGTCGATGTCCTTGGGTAGACCACCCGACGCAGTGCCGACATTGTTGCCGCTGGACTCTCGGCCTAAATTTTCACACGCAACTTATTGAAATATACTTTTAAACTTCATTCTAGCCAAAAATGTCATATAACGGGGAGTTTAAAATTAACTTAACGATTTTTGCTTTGCTGCGCTTTAGTTTGTGATATTTTGTCTTATACAATAGAAATATGTTTCGAGTATTGATGCAAAAAAATTATTTGATTGGCGAAATTTAAATATTTCTTGACTTGTTAACAGCGAGTCTCAATACTAGTTCAAGTTTTTAGTGAATGCATCAATCCAGCACTCAAAGTATGATAATGAAGGAATGACATTATAAATTTTAAAATCGAAATGATAATTGAAGTTTAAGTGAAAAAGATGTATCGTATGTTCACCTTGATGTTCGTATGGATGATCGCCATCGAGAGAATCCGCATCGAACTGACTACTGCGGCTACGCCTTAAATCTGCCGAATAACACATCACAAATCAAACTGATATTCCGAATTTCAAATCCAATCGTAAATCATTTTTCAAAACTTTTTGAGCTTCAATGGGAGCCCACTACGTGTTTATTGACGCATGCATGTTCGTCGTTCGTATGTGTGTGTGTGTGTGTACGTGAAAATCTTGTTCAACAAACGCACGTGCACACACATCGATTTACCAGGAAATTTCCCTTTGATTTATAGTCTCGCGAACAGCCTATACACATGCATCGCGAGAAAATGATCGCATGCATGCTCGTATGCATTGAATAGTGATATGCATTTTTTGAGACATTTCAAGTAAATATGATGAACTTGAACATTGAACATGCTATGAAATTAACATAATAATGAAAACGATAAACATTCAATATAAGATGGAAAAACCAAAAATTGGAAGGAAACAATGCAGGTTCATAAAATAAAAGCAAACACACACAAAAATAAAGAAGAAACATTCTAATGAATAAAATAGCGAAATAATCAGAGAACGAAAACACACCCTCGTAAATTTCTAATTCAGTTGTCTTCGTTATTGCGTTGAAGGGTTCTCGCATTCACACAGGAGTGGCTCGTTTCAGTAGTACAAGTCGGTATCCGGTCAGTCGGCGTGCACACATACGTATAGTCGCAAAAAGCGTACGCTCCGAGATTTCAATTTTAAATCTGTCATTTCAACTATTTCGCGCTGCGGGAGCAGGAAATGAAAAATTAGTCGTCGAACGCGTAATCGATTCATTTCAAAACGATTGCTTCGTTAAAATATTACGCGGCTGTTAAGGTCGCTTGAGTTTAAAGTTTATTAATTTCGAAACACGATTAAGCTGATAGTCCGGACAGGTATTTCGAGGCGAACGTTTTTAAAAAAATAGGAGCAAAACAAAAACAAAAGTGTGAATTCAACTGTAAAACGGCGTGCATTTTTTACCTGAATTTTCATTCGGATCATCGCCAGAACCGATGTTCGCGAACCAATGCATAGTTTGCTCTAGACAAAAATAAACAGTGAACGAGATATGAAAAAGTGGTTCATGACATGAGAATGTTTTACAAATAAAAAAAAGAAATATAAAATAAAAAATACGTCGTTAGTTTTCAAAATCGCCAATTAGTCAGTTAGCGAAGCGAACATATTGAATGAAAAAATGAAATAACACGAGCGAGGAACTACGAAAAGTCGTTAGTAGAAATAAAAACACAATATCGTGTTAGTTTATTTATGTAAAATCACGTGTACAGTGCACATCAGTCGTTATGATTCGGAAAATACTACAAATTAAATTGTGCATTGTCGGGGTCAGTAGCTCTCGCATTCGTGCGCGTGTTAACGTCTATCGCAATTTGCACGCGAATAGGGCATAATTCGCATAATATGCATAAGTCATATTACCATTGCCAGTGTATAAATGCATTTAAAATTACGCATTATTATCGTTGAGAGAAATAAATTTAATGGCAGAACTATATCGATTACGACGCTATAGAGGCACGAGCTCGTTGTACTGCGCCAGTTCGAGGACAGTAGTTTCTATAATATGCGTACGGTAAATTTTGATGTTAACGCGCAAGAACTGAGTGCGCCAGGCTTTGTTGGTGACAGCTTAATGCCACTTGATGAGATACAGACTGCGCGTGCAGGTAGTTTACGATCTATATGTCGCAGCAGCTATGGTACATGTAGAATTTTCAAGTAGTGTAGCTCGGCGGCAGTTATCAGCCGATGCAACTCGAGGGCCAGCAATTTCATTACGTTACCGTGAATAATATGATTTTCGAGCAAATTAAAATTTTTACTTAGGTCAGCACTAGAAGCGTGGCAATATAAAGGCCGACTTAGCTTTCGCTCGAGCAGTGGCGGTAAAGCGTTCGTCCGGTGCGAGCATTTAATTCGCGCAGCAAAGCATTGCGAACTCGAAGAAGAAGCTCCATTGCCGAGATCTGGGTCACAGCTCTTCGTGTGCATGTATGCACTCATACACACCGAGCACGTGTATATATTCACGGAGGAAGGAAGGAAGGAAGGAAGAAGTGGCGTATATACGAGAAACGTCTGTGCGTCTTGATTTGTGCCCAGTAACGCATCCATCTAACCATCATCTCGTTAAAATATTATTACTCTTCGTGTGAAATCTCGTCGCGTTTGTAATAATTTTTATTTCCTCGGTATAATCAACAAATTTTCATTAGGCAGGTAAAAGTGTTCAAGTGAAATAAACGTCTGTTAATAGTTGAATTTTTGAAACCTGATTTTTTATCGGAAGATTTTATCGGAAATCAAAAGTCAAAGTTTAAAAAAATACTGAAGCTAGGACAAAATTATAATTTTCAACGCGTTTTGCGGGATTTCCAATGAATCTTTTTTCAAAAAACTACAAGTTTTCGCAAAAATTCAACGATTTAACAGTCTTCAAAGAAAAAAAAATCATTTATCAATACCTTCAAATGCAAAACGTATAAGTACAGCGATGCACACATCGAAAAAAGACAGAAATACAGTAAACATGTATTGTCAATATAAATCTCATGTCGCCTTCGTCGTTATCGGCTTATAGAATGTCGTATATTGTGCGACTATCGTATAGAACATCTTCTTTTTCCACGCTACATATAATGGATCCGATACATGTATAAAGGAAAAACGATGTACGTACTCTACACACGTATAATACGTTTCATCGATTGAGCTTATTTATCATGGTGCTATGGAACTTGTTGAAAAAGTTGCCGACGATATTCCGCACGCAATATATCCGAGATAGTTGTATAGGTATACGATTGCCAAGAAAACGAAACAAAACGTCTAATTTCGAATGACAATGCGGAAAATCGTTTCAAGCACGACTGAATTTAAAAAAAGACTCCTTCAAGAGATTAGTATGCCACTAGGAGTTTCTCGAAAAAAAGAAGGTAGGCGTCAGCTCTGCACCGTTGTAAAAAATCACGATCGCATGACGTAACATGTTTCAGATAATTTTCCTAGTTTGAAATTTTTTTCATCTTTACGGTTTTGATCTTTGCTTTTCGACAAGTACCGTGACGTTTATACGGACAGGTTAATGATAGTTATCAAACGAAAACGTAAATCAAAGCAAAAAAATACCAGTTAAGGAGACGACGTAACCAGAGTGTAAATTAAAAATTTTCTGCACATTTTCTCATTTTCACTGAATACTTTTTTTTAACGTTGTGGAGAAACGTTGTTTTTACGTTTGTTTTTTGGGCTTCCCCGAAGCTTTTTGAAGAAATATATGCTGTAGAAAATATAATAAACACTTTTGAAAACGTTAATTTTCATGCTCGCTGCGTCGTCTCTTAAAGCCAGAAAAACATGCATATTAAATGTTAAAATGGTTTTCGATGCAAGGCATGCGTGAATAATGTACTTTTATATGAGATTCGTTCATTGGAATAAAAAAATTTGAATCATTTTTAGTGTATTTGAAAAGCTAACAATCATTGTACACATTCACTACATAAACTCCATACTCCAAAGTCCTTACCTTTCGGCAGAGAGTGACGGTTGTGTGTTGAGCTACTTTTTTGGCTATTTGTATCAGGTGCGGCACCGGCTGTCGTTGCATGAAACAAACAAAAAAGTGGAATTCATTAATCAACTGCTACCGAGTAAACATTTGTTCATTTGCAACGCACTTTAGAGTATATTAATATTTTCTAACGAAAAAGCAATTTGCCGTTTTTATTATAAAATGCTGAAATAGCGCTGAAACCGTTTATAACTTTACTGGAAGCATATTACTATATTACTATATTATACTCATATATAGACGATCCATTAATGATATTATGTGGTAATCTAAGTCTACATGTCATTAATTTTCATTCTGAAAATTAGATTACTGAAATTTCAATCGCTACCTTTTGCATCTATAATCAAAATTTTGAGGAATTAAACCCCCAAGTAAATAGAAGCAAGTTACACACTTAATGAAGTAGGTAACAAACGTTGCATAATAGGCAATGTCACCAATAGTCGCCGCAGCGCGAGATGAATGGGCGAAGCTCGAAAGATACAGCCCCCGGCCGACAGTTGATACTCGCGGGCGCTTATCTGTCGGTTTCGTGTTAGCGCATCAACGCCCTTCCCTTCATTCAGCACGGGGCGCAGTTATGTGTCCTGCGTGAATTATTATTATCGGCAACGCGAGAAGTGCTGACAGAGTCGAGCTACGAATCGATAAAGGTTCACAATACTTCGAATACACAAAAATTCCGGGTAATTCCAATACACGCATGTGTGCCTCGTCTCGCGCCCATGATTGGAGAAATTTTTTCATTTTTTAACGCAATCTTTGGTTTACCCTTTTTTGCCATGAAACTTCACTTTTATAAAACTTCATTGGAATATTACGTGTATACATGTATTGATTGCCATTGATGCTTGTATCTCATTGAAAATCAAAGTATTCACCGAGGAAAAATGTATGGATAGGTTAAAAAAAGTTGGCGAGCAAAAAATGTGTGCTTTTTATCGCGTGACTGTGCAGTGGCGCGCAACTTATAAACTCGGGTTCGGTGACTTTTACCGAGATAATTTTTTCTTTTGAGCTGTACTTGAACGAAAATAAAAAAGCTTTGAGGTTTCACATATATTTTTATACTCAAACATAATGTTTATTTATCCCGATTATGTTGTTACATTTTAAACTCAAACCTTTGAAATATAGAAAATAAGGAATACTAGAAGAGTTTATTTAGTATTTGAAGCACTGCATGACGAAATGCAATTTTGTCTTTATTGAATTCCATAGTATCAGACTTATATTCATTTTTATTTCCATTGGGTTCCTTTGAAACGCAGCTCTCTATCATTACCTAGTAAATAAAACTTCAAGACGAAATTACATTGCAACTGATTTCAACTTTGTCACTATTTTCGTAAAAAACTTGTAATCTTTTACTACTGACCTCTTCACACGCATAAACACCTAATTTGCATGAGGTTATGAACATGATATAGTTTAAGCTTCATCACTCATCTGCTGCAAGCTCCTGATGATAAATGACCCCAACGCGAGGAATTAATCTTTTCTCCTCCGAGTAACTTACGACCCATCCGTGTTCTTGTCTACGACATGTAAGTGGAAACCAAGACACGTCTACCCAAGTTCTAATATCAACACCTATGATATTATATTCGCGAATATGAAAAATTGTCATTTAATAAACTTTTTTTTAAATGAGCTTATTTGATAGTCAAATTGAGTTAGTAAAAAATAATAAAAAAGTAATGACAGAATTTCCATGCCTCTTTTCGTATGCAAGCTAGCAGAATCTCATTTCTTTCAAGCTTTATTCACTCGTGCACAGATGAGCACGTGTGTACACGTGATCCTGAGAATTTGCCTACTTTTATTTCAGTTACAAACTGCTTTAAATAACTATGTTACAAATATATCTGCAAGAGTAACATTTTTATTTTTTTCGAAATCAGTTTGATTGAGATTCACATTTAGTTTAAAAAATTGATAGCATAGTGAAATTTAACAGCTATGAATCTTTTTCTTTTTAATGAGGATAAATAACTTTCCATTAGTTCTGTAAGAAATTGAACAAGGAGTGGAAAGATATCGATAACAAACGTAACTCCGAAGCTTAACTAATAATGGTAATATCGAGTTACTTTTTCCGCTTTTATCATTGCAATTTTTGAAAAGACGCTTGATGAAATACCATTGACCAGCCGTTCCAAGAGAGAACAAACAATGTAACGTCGATGTCTCTCCGTAAAAGTGTCCACTAAAATAGGAAAGAAAGAAACTCGGATGGGGTAAAAATCAAACATACAAACTTATTTTTCGTGCGAACTTTTGAGTTATACTTGGACTTTATTTTTCTCGAATATATAGATGCAGACAGTAGTTTTAATCCGAACATTGAACGTATAGGGTCAAGGGAGAGAGGTTGTTCGGCAGGGAAGGTAGCTGTTCCTAATTGCACGGATGAAGTCTAACGTTCCGAGCGGAAATTGCTACATAATTCGATTGTCTCACCCACTACACGATCGAGGGATAAGTGAGAATGGTCGCGCCTCCCGAAATTCTAATTTACGACAAAGATTGAAGGTCGTAAAAAAATCGAGATTACACCCTCGATCACCGTGTTATTCTAGTACGATGAAATTCTAGAATATTACCATAGATGCAATGACTCGCCATCGATCGATTTTCGTTCGCACCTAGAAAAATGTTTGTACTTCAGATTTTAACACTGCAAATATTGCCAGCAGTGGGTTTACGCAAAGTTTAGCAGAGTTATAAACATTAATCTTTCTGCAAAAAAGGAATTAAGTGTAGTGAAAAGAGAGAGAACAGGGTATAACGTGGAAAAAGTTTCAGCTTAACCTGTTTTTTTTCTTCTCTCTCTGCCATGGAACACACGTGTGAAAAAGAGTACATCACGAAAAATATGCAAGTGCGGCTTTGCAAGCTCAAACATAGAAGTAGTATATGGCAATATGGTATTTGAGAGAGTTTTCAAACTTTAACAGAGATATGCGCGCATGCATCGCGTTCCGTCGTCGAACAAGCACACCTATGGATAATTTATGTTTCTCCTTCCGACGCGTGTATACGAAAATACGCACCTGGTTTGGTAGAAAAAAAAATCTCTTAGTTTTTGTTCTGCCAAAGATACGTTCGTGAGATGCTGATGAAAGAATACCTGAATAAACAAAGTATGAAAATAAGAAAAGGAACCACGTCGCAAAATGACGTATTGAGGCAGTAGGTGGCACATTACAAAGAGAAACTCAAAGGGAGAACTTCGCCGTCATGTTTGCGCATTTCCCAGCTGAGAGCGGTGAATTTCGTAACGAGACTGATGGAGTGAGAAAGTATTTTCTTAACTCAGACGTATTTATTTCCATAAATGTATAATAGATACATTTTGTACGAGTAAATTATCACGCATGAACAATATTTACATAAATAAATTCAAAATATACTAGAATTATATGAGTGTCCTCTTTTATGTAGTATATATATGAATGTGCGCACGCACCTTTTGCGTTTCTGTACCGGCGAGATCGATGAGGTCGACTCTCTGCAAATGCAAGGCTACGTTACGTATACCCTAATCAGTTAAATGACAATATCGTTAGCAGAAAAAAAATTATGCAGCGAATGAAAATAATTTAAAGCTTGAATGTGACAAAAGTTGGACATTGTCTTGAAAAAATGGAAACTATTTTCCCTGCAGAGGTAGTTTGACAGGCAATGAAAATTCCTCGGAAAAAGGCAAAAGTTGTGCAATTTGTTGAAAGAAAACTACGTAAGAAATTATATTTTCAAAAAAAGGGAGAAAACGCGTGAGACTTGGCTTGGTGTTTGAAAAAAATCTATAATTTTTCATATCCATAAATAATGTTGCATTTCTAAAGTGTGAATATGAGGTTTCTGATCCTAGACATTGATTATAAATTATGTTTATTAATTTTTTTTTATTTAAAACATACTTAACATGATTTTTTTTTAAATTCACTTCATGCCAGGGCAAAGATGTAGATAAATGGTGCAACTTAATCTTTTTATTTTCTTCAGAAAGTAACTTCACAGTTACAACGAAATGGTCTCGAAGAAAAACTCGTTTTGTAAGAGAGCACATTAAAGATTTGGCAAAGATTTTTAGTTCAAACGTTTCGTCAGCAATGAGAAGAGTATTAACGTACTCTTAGCATATTTTGGCATCTTTTAGAGAGAAAAGGTTGCTTTTTTGAAATAATTCAACGATAAGGGAACGAGTAAAAGGCGAGCAAAGACATTACACAAAAAAGAACAGAGCTGCACAATCTTAGTTCACGATAGCATAATTAAGGTGATATATGCAGAGAATCCTTATATAATACGAACACAATTCAAAAATAAAACAAACGAGAAAAAAGTGTTTTATGATGAACAGAAAAGTGAGAAGGTGTATCTTCGTTTAAGGATCACAAATAATAAAAAAGCCACGCTTAAAAAAAAAATGAAAATTTGTAATAGTATCGGTGTATGCGGTGAAAATCTCGCCCGTGTGCATCATATACGCGTTGACATCGTAAATGCGGTGGCTACGATTACTTACTATAACATATATCTTGCGCAGCCACGAATTATGGCGCTTTATATCCGTCGCACAAAAAAAATATCTCATGAAACTCGCGCGAAACAGCAATATTTGTTTCCTTGGAAAGAATAGGAGAGTTATAAAGAATATTGAACAGATTTCAATTAAGAAAGCTTAAAAACGAAAAATATCTCAATTACTTTTTCAATGCGCTCAAGCGACGGATCGATCAAACTGCTTGCCGACCGTTCTTGATCGAGCAAAGTGCAATTCTCAATTAGCCGAGAGTTTGCGAAGTAAAAGATCGCACACACTCAGAGAAGTGAAGTTGAAGTATACAGTGTGAAGATAATGGAAAGGAGGAGGTGGCCGAGTTTCGTGACAAAAGGAGTTGCTGCTGCGTCGTGCAGAAGATAGTTTGTCAGACGTAGCAGCTCTTTCTCTCTTTCTTGCTTGCGTACATGCTTATCAGGTTATTTGCACCCAGCTCGAAGGAGAGTCAAATTTTAGAACAAAAAATGAGGCAATATTTTTGAGCTCAAAGAATAAAAGAGATTGAGAATTTAATATAAATGTTAACTTGCTTGAATTCGTAAGATTATACATGGCACGTGTCGTTTTCGGCGAATGCTGACTCGCATCGCATGCGCAACAAATTTAGAATTTTCGAAATCATCTGTATCAGATAAAATGGAGTCAAGATTTAAAGATTAACAGTCTCAAATTACACTTAATTAAAACACAACGGGTTTTGGGTTTTTTGAAATTGAGTAAAAAAACATCTTTCTATAGTGTGACCTTTTTTGATACGCTCGCTAAAAACATTGATTTTGGCTGCATGTTATGACGCATAAAATGAAACTGCGAAGAAACGCGATACGAAAATAAAACCTATGTACATGAAACGTATCGAGGCAGTTCGAGTTATGCGCAGCATTATATTGGCACATTGAAAATTGGGCCATTCAAAGCTGTATCAGAGAGTACAGTATTGAAGCACAATATTCGAGCTCTTGATCAAAAAGAATTATACGCGAAAACATACTATTTCTAATATTATACTCTTTCGAGTACGTTAATTTGTGATATTTCAATTAAGACTGCGGTATTATAAAATTCGACAATGATTTTGTGTCAGCTTCTCGTGTACCTTTTTAATCAAGATATATGCGAGTCATGATCTGACATGACTGACATCGCGCAGCTCTACATTGCAGCTCATTCGACTATTCTCAATACTATCACCGAATGAAAAGGTATACCAGACGGTTTTAAGATAAACAATTGATTTTAGGTGTTCAAAAGAAAAAATGAAAATATCTTATAAATTACTTTGCATCGAAAAACACTCGGTAAATTTTTTCATTTCATTTAAAGAGTCAAAAAATTCGGTTGCACGGTGGAAAATCAATAGGTGCAAGTAGACCGATTCAAACGCAATAGAGGAAAATTTCATATTCTCACGCATATGAAAGGACTGCTTCTCCCGCAGACCTTGTCCCAGTCGAAAAAGAGCTAACTCTGTCGAGAAAGCTTTTCCAATAAATTCCTCATAAATTTCAGCAGACTTTGTGCGGCGGAGGATATTTTGCTCTGTATATGTCTTTCGCGCGAACAAGAGAGTACCTACACCCCCGACACTCCATCTCTCTCGCACTTTCTGCTCACAATTGGCTAACGTTTCCGCTAAAGTCACTTGCAACGCCACTGCAGCCAGAAAAATGCCCGTTATACATTTTGTTTCGAGTAAAAATGCGGTATGTGGGTGTTTTACTCGAGAGCTTTGATATCAATTTTCAGAAAAACATACGGTCTGGAGCAACTCGTTGACCCAATCGACAAAGTACTCACCTGAAACAAAAAAATAAAAAAGTTTCGTTAGTCTTTTTTTCATTTTGTGAGCACCACTGCTGCGGATTTCCATCGCCCATTTTAAAATAAAATGTATCCTTAACAGTTTTGGGTATGGCAGGATTTTATCGGGATAAATTATTATTGAAGTTAGCTTTATTATGCATCATGCCACAGTGCACACAGCGATAATGATCTTTCCAGAGGGGTGAAATTGCTTTTTTTATGGTATGACGAGCATAACTACCTCAACTAGAAAATCCAATTGTATAATAATATTTAAAAAAAACTAGTGACGTACTTGCAGAGAATATAATGCAAAAATCTGAAGTGCCTTGAAAGCATCAGACATATTAGATATAAGTTTTTGAACAAGAGTTGATCTAATTGAGATGCTTCATTGACGTTCTGAAGAAAGGTATATAACGTGCACTATATTTTGAGTTATTTTATGCAATACATTATTCAATGCACACTGGCGGGTGCTCTAATTTATATTGGTGATGAAAGTAATATATATGCGGAGATTGCCACTTCATTATACATTAAAATGTATACTTAAAGGTTTATAATTAATATCGAGTTTTGGAATTTCGAATAATTGATAGCGACTTACACTGTTGGCCATAAGCTTTACAATAAAAGAATAATAATGCGTAACTTTTAATCGACCACATAGTGAATCATACTCGAGGTGAAAATTCGGGGCATTTATGGCGTACAATATACATCTATTGTTGAAGACAAGAAACAAAGAAAAAAACTTTCGGTATCAGATCTTATACGCTGCATACGTGTATAGTAGAGGGTGTATTGAGAAGAAGAGATTTGGCAGAGCAGCTGATGCGTTCTCGACTTTCCAAACTCTATATAAGACCTTTTTCTTTCTCTTTCACTAGATATATGCATCGATAGCATTTCCCAAGCTTTGACCGTCGATCAAGTGCGCTGAAGCTGTTCATCAAGGAGACTAAAAAAAAGACAGTTCGCTAGAGCAGCAAAAATATATAAGATGCCGTATACCTTTGCATATGAAATTTACAAAAAAATTATTTTAACGAAGGCACTAAATAAATTTCATTTCAAGATGAAAGTGTGACTTATGTGAATATTTAAAATGTTCATTCCGATCATATCATTTCAAATTCAATGAAATATTCAGTCACCAGTAAATGGATGAAAATCATTCACCAATTTTAGATACTTTTAATATAGCTGCATACTTATTCTATGCTATGAAATGATAATTGCAATATTATCTCACTTGAGAATTCCAAAGACAATCACTATTCATCAGTTATATACATTGATTATGAAATTTTAAGGAAGCAGTTTTCATATAAAAATTAGCTTTAAAAAAGGCACGGATAATTAAAAAAGTAGAAATGTAGCAATATTTTAAATGGTATATGATAAAACAACGATGAATCGAAATTGGCGTACAAAATAATTTGACATTAGTATAATACTCTTTTTAACAGAACAATTTGTTAATTTTAATTATTTCATTCGTTTGATAGTAATTTTTTCAAGTAACGGTAATTGTCCAAAAATACGAAATATAAGTGTAAGAATTTAACAGATTTGAAGAATTTTTCAAAAAAGTATGTATCTTACATAAGAATATAATAAAAAATAATAAAAAAATTAAAATATTCCGGGAGAATCCTCATTTGCTGAAGGTAATACTTCTTATTTGTAAGTGGGAGACTCATCTTTTATACATTTATACAAAAATAATTCGAATTGATACTCAGTGTGTCCAGAGCTCTTCTAGAAGCAAGTTCAATATGTCGAAACTTTTATTTTTGTACGGTAGCTTTTTGTTACTTTTGTCAGTTTCGTGCGTTAATCACAATATAATACACAGTACTTTTAGGTAAAGTAAGATAAATAAACAGCATTCAATTTGTTCTTTTACTTTCAATAAATACAATAAATATAATAAATATTCATTTTAGTCGATCTTTGAGATCTTTGCGACCGGTGTTGGTACAACCTGTTCTACATAAAGGTATTTAACATATATCTTAAGTGATGAACCTTATATTCTATTAAAAAATGTGTGTTTAGGATGTGGATTGGTGATACAGGAGCCATTTGGAATTATTAAGAATACATTTGTTAGCGGTGAAATGGAAACAGAAACGAGCTGTGTGTGGCGATTTCAAGCTCCAAGTAATCAAATCATACATATCTACACGATGGAGTTTAATCTCGATGATCAGACAACAAATGAATTGGATGAAGTGTTTCATTTCTCACAAATTAGTTATTTAAGTATTTATGATTCAAGTACTTTTGGAGGCAACCCATTGACTGGGTAAGCAAATCGATTCTGTGATATTAACTGAGTCACCAATTCATTCATTTTTATCATTTTTAGATTTGGTATATATCCTTTGGGATTATCAGCTATAAAAGACTTCAAGTATTCTATATCGAGTTCCAACAGTATGATTCTAGATTTTAAATATCGGGACAATCCTGCATTTAAAACTCAAAAAGTTGTTATTCATTACGAATTTCTCAATGCTGGTGAAGTAAATAGAATATTGAATTTATGAATGGTTTATATATTTTAAAGTTTTAAAATTGTATAAAAGTTACAAATGAGAATATGTGACAAACTTGACACTCAAAATCAAACATTTGTGTGACTGTAGAAACTTGTTAAAATCCACAAATGTATACAATAAAAACAAGTGAATGTAAATGAAAACTTAAATTCAACGTTGAAATATTTTATTCAAGGTACATTTTAAATTCATGATTTTTCAAGTTTGAAAAAAATAAAAACACAGCACGGATTAATTAAAACCGATGACATCATTAGTCGAAACGGCAAAATCTATTTTCACATATTCCTCTCAGTGTCAAAACTATTTACTTTTAATAAAAATTACTACATGGTGGCATGAAAACACCTGGCTACGCGTTCGTTATTTCTACCAAGTTCACCAGCACATTTAATTGATTCAGAAACTTACTCATTTCCACATAATGCACATCCTACTTCGAATGAATAGTACGTGCGCGTGTGTGCGAATTTATTCCGCGTGCAGTTTATAAAAGGTAGAGATCAGGCTTCGGCATGCTTAGTCGACGGTGCGTTTTTGCGCGAGTGACTTCTCTCTCGGATAACTGCGCGGACAAATAATCCTTTCTTCTCTTCGATTAAAGTGTATCAAAATGGAAAAGATTTTACTGTTTCTGCTATTGACAAGTGTCGCGTTGTCGCACTCGCTGCAAGGCTTCAAAATTCGCTTTACGGCAAGAAGTGCCAAAAGGTAAAAGTAGATTTATAAAATATTTCGTGAAAAAATAAATCTTTCTCGACGTGTATCGTACGCTGTTTTGAAAAAATTCATAGGACAGGCTACGACTAACGATGGTTTTTCCCTGTTATATTTGAACATATTTTCACTTTACGACGGCGCGACGATTTCACACTCTAAAAAAAAGTATATGGAATCTTTTCTATAGAATGTATATGAAAGTCTTTCACGTCGTAAACAAACTATTCTTGATTTTTTACACGAGATATCATTGATTAAAAATTATTTAGCTCAGTTACTCGCAGTTACTTTCATACAATTTTTCAGTGATTTATTTATTTCGCTTCGCGCTAACAAAACAATGACCTTTATCGATGGTGAGTAAAATGCGTTTATTATTCTTTACTAACCTAAAATTGAAATGTATATAATTTATTACTTATTTTTCATATGGCACAGAATGTAACAAAAAAATAAGAAAACCCTACGGAATACTCGAGCAATCGTACAAGCGCGGCACGACAAAACTCGGCGAAAAATGTACGTGGAAACTTCACGCGCAACCAAATCACGTTGTAAACGTTATTTCGGTTCTGTTTGCCATGGAGGATGAAATAAATCCGAGCAACACCACCGATGACTACAGGACAACCAGTATTTCCCTTTATGACGGCACCCAGGCCAAGGAAAATAAATTGTTAACGCGGTACGTTCGATTCTGTATTGAAAATAGAACTAAAATCGTACCATGATGGCCTTGTGTTAGAAAATAATATTGAAAAAAACTTTACAATAATTGAAATCATTGATGTACTTCTTCGAAGATACAATAATACGAGGAAAGGTGATGCAAGCGTGGTTTAATGGCTTTATCAGTTTCCTTGATATTATAATCATTATAAATTATTACGTTTTATTGTCCTCAATTTGTGAAGCTTTTGCAATTAATCTATCTTGATTTTCAGATACTACGTTTCTTTGCAAGAAAAAGTTGGACATTTTGTTAAGAGCATGTCTTCTGGACGTGACATGGTGGTGGAAATTAAGTATCACGACAATAAAGATTTCGAGATGCAAAAGATAATAGTTAATTACGAATTTCTCGATCTCAATGAAATTAAGCGTATTACCGGAATAGAATAAGCTGTTATTTGTTCAACTCTTTATGCATATAGATCAAAGAGACTGCCAATATACTCTATATACCATTTTTGAGAATTTCAAAACAATCATTTTTTGTTTTGCTGCGTCGAAATTTTTTGAGTTTTTGTTATGTTTTATGATTATGTTGTTTTATTTTCAATAAATGTTTTACTAGTAACGTCTCATTACTTATATTCTTTCACTCGCATAGATAAAAATATTACTTTTTCCTAAATAAAATGTAAAAATGTGAACCTATTTGAGTGGTATGTAGCATAAAAAAGTTATGGTTAACAATATAGCACAAACATATCAGAAAATAATTATATTGCGCATTGCGTAACGCGCAATTGTCATTTTCATATATCGAATAAAATTAAAAAAATGTTCGACTAATCATGAATTCTCGTTAAAGCAGTTGAAAGGGCCGGAAATTATACTGCGTGAACTGCATTATAAATCTGCAACAGCGCAAGGACGATCTTACATTGAATGACCGGTCAATACCCGCATTTTCTATTTAATAATGATAAAACTATAAGGCAACCATTGATTTTCCGATCAAATATTTTTAAGTTCACTCCATATTTTTTGTGCTCAACAAAGATAGATTAATTAGTTTGTTGTTCGGAATAAACAGTACGTTCCAAACAAAATTTTGCTCGTGTATAATAATATATCTGCAAAATGAATATAAAACCTTTCAATACACCCATGAGATCGCATTATATGTATCAATGAACTCAATAAAATATTTCAAACGAAAAGTTTCTTTGATAAAATTTTGAAAAGTAAAACAAAATAACACGTTAACTAAAACAGTTTAATTTCGCGACTTTATCTAATTTATTGTCTTTGTTTGCTTTTTGTTAAATTATTAAAAATAAACCAGTCTAATATTATACGTAATATTCTGTTCCAAATTTCAAAATCAATTTTTAGATGAGTTGTCATTCTACTTCTACTCAATTTTTTACATGCGAACATAAGTTCAAGGCAGACGATAATGGAACCTGTATTAGCTAAAAGTCGAAAGAAAACTTTTCGCTTTAATGGCTCTTTTCTATAAAAGTCGAAGTTTTTGAATGTTAAAGCGTACCCTTTAAGTTCACAGACTCAAAGGTGTTGAGTAGTTTGCTGTGTGTTGTTTGGCCAATTATTGCAAAATTTAACTACATTTACTTGGCGCAAGTTTTCGTTTAGGTGTGTTGAAGAGATTAATAAACTTCAAAAACTCAGCCTCTCCAGAAGACATTTGCTTGAAGGAATGAATGAATATCAGAAAATAAAATCATTTATGAAAGTGACCTTCGCAATCGAATCACATACTTGAAAGTATATACATTATGACAAGATATAAAAAGAAAGCCAAGTTTTAAAAATAAGCAAGCAGAATAATTTTACTACAGATTATTCGACTATTTTGTCCTTGATGTTTTTTCTTTTTCATAATACGTATATCAGTTCAATGTATCGAAATACCAAGTCCTTCGAGAACACAACATAAAGACGTAAAAAAAAAAATAATAATAACACGAGATTCAATGCGGTTTTGGCTCTCTTCGACTGAATCAATTCGCATTCGATCATAGCTACATGTGTTCGACATGGAATTCGTAAAGATACTCGTGGATAACTTGACTGTGCACATGCCAAGAGTTAATGGAATGAAAAGAATGTATATGAATTCTGCACAACTTCATTGTGTTTACCTTATTACTTTGTTAACCAAAGATTTTTTTTAATACATTCATGTACGATGCGATGTATGATTTTAAATAAATTTTTGTCTTTAAATTCACGTCAAGCTGTTTATATTTCAATCAACAAGAATACCATTCCACCTCCGAATCACAGATAGTTGCCATAATTTTTTGTGTAGTCTTAACGAAAAAAAGTATTTTTTCTTTTGAACAAATAGGCGTTGGGGCTTACTTTTAAATGAATTTCCTTTTTTAATCAAGTAGTAACTTTTGGATGCATGCATGTATTTTTAATCCTTGGTAGTTGAAATTGTAGCTACAGGTGTCACTTATTTGGAACTCTTCTTAAATTATAATTTATTTGTCTCTACTCTAAATCTCCAGTCCAATCAGAGACTGTTACATAAATAACTATTTCGTCATACTATTGCATAAAGACTTGATTTCAAGTCATTCTTTTTTTGTAAATAAACAAGAAATCTTTGTTATTCATTATCTCGCAAAGAAACAATTTTAGGAAAAAAAAATTCAAAGATCTGAAAAGTCTTTAAATCAGCAAAATGTATAAGATCGTCTATCACCCATTCTCTGAGGCCCGAAGTTTACGTTTTTTTCTTCGAGTCCAGCAGATTTCAGAAGCCTCTAAAATTATCTATAAATGATTTCGAGATGCAATATCAATGATTTTTAATAAAAAAAAAATGAATTTAAAAATGGGTCGCAAGACCCAATACATTGAAAAAAATACAAATCTGTGATCCAGACGTAGAATGGTTTCTTTGTAAAATAGATTTTTAAATGTCGGTATCTTAATTCTTTCGATGAACTTTCAATCAGCCGACGTATAAGCCCTGAATTAATCGGATTCTCGATTAATTTGTAAATATGTGAGACGAGAAGGATTAGTAGTCTATATTTACTGATTGCTTCAATAATTGAGCGTTCATTTATAATTGAACAATAAATACTTGTTTCTACCACTGCTACGAATTGAAACGTACAAATCATGATTTGTTGAAGAATGAAGTGGAAACACGAATTATTTCTGCATGTTTATTGAAAACCTTCTTGAATGCAGCATTATTTATAAGAATTAAATACAAGGCGAAAACTTTTTTGAATTAGAATAATTCTAAAGAAAATTTATTAAAAATTTTAATGAAATTATAATCTGGAGGAAACAGCTGAAAACAAAGACGGTGAAGCACAGTACGAAGAAAAAAAGTCGGTTATAACTTGTCCAACCTATGCGCCAAGCCAAATGGATTTATGTTAATTAGTTTGAAAAAAACTTTGTTGATTTACGAATTTTTTCGTTTCCTGAACTTCTTTAGAATGTAGGACACACCATAATGTATATCGCATAAAATATTTAATTTTTTGAACAATTCTTGCGTTTATGTAAGACAATACGCAATCGATAACGAACATATAGCACGCATCGTAATTCGTTGGAGTCGCGTCGAATAATCATAAAATGTAACCTTGTCACGATAGTGTTATTTTGATCGACGCATCGCGCACAAATAGCGCGGACTAGGCGCGCACAAAATCATCCGCAAACATTTGCTCTTAGCGCACGAGAAAATTACATGCGAGCAAACTGTAGAATACAGCACGCGTGCTGGCGAATATATAGAGTTTAAGAGAGGGATCAGACGAGGGGCACTCCGGGTAAACTTGATTTGGCTAGGATTCGAGTCACGCGAATTTCACGCGTGCACCTATGTGCCTCGTCGATCTTCCGCTCACGTGCCACGAAAAGAGGACGCGCCTGAACGCGCGCAACGTTCAACTGCTGTATCTAAACGCATACAAGCAACAATAGGCAATACAGCATAGGTTGGACGCGATAAGAGCTGCAGAAATCCATGCGATTAAAGCTCTTAACGACCATCTGTAGCAATTGGTCTGTACCCAACTATTCACAGCAATTTATTTTCTCGATTATATGCAATCGCGATTGCAGTTATTACCACGTTCATTGACCAAAAATTAATTTTTTCCCTTGTGAAGATAAAAATTAGTCAAGGGCTGTTTTTTTTTCAGGATAATAATTGAGATTTTATTGATCCGGTGCCCTCTACTGGTATAACTATAATTAGAGTATTATGACTTACACCGTAAAATAACGAAATTTATTTTAAATGCACAGAGTGAGTACTTTATCTCCAGTACTTGCAAACCTATCATAATTCCTATACTTTAATTAGCTGGTATTTGAACTAGCTGAAAACTTGGTATCTTTTAAAATGAAAGGTTAACGAAGATTAAAGTCTATAGACTAAAGCTATATCTTCCATATACAAGATTTAGAGGTGCACTCTTAATTCTATTAAAATGGCGCGTCATATACCAGTCGTAATTAAAGTTCTGACTCCATATCTCAAATCACAATAGATGAAGAAGGCCTGTTTTAATGGATTCCTCACCTTCGTCGCCGGAAGAATCGTCAGGTTCTGGCGACGATCCGGGCGAACGATCCTCAAAGTAGCAATTTCGCAGCATTTCTGGTGAAGCTGATCGTCCCCGACGATGGCACTGATAATAGAATTTTTTATATGGCTGCTCTTTGTAATTGCTCGACGAGTAGGTCGACAGATCGACACTCGCGACGTAAGGCAGGCGTCGACCATCACGCGACTCAAGACCGCTTGTTGTTCGTCGGCTGCTGACGTTCGTCGGATGAGCTTGACGTTTTCTGTATGTTTACAAAAGAAACATTTTTATCGACCATCGGTAAAAAAAAATATGAGAATAGGATCCTAGAGAGCACACGTACTCTCGAATCTCGTAGACGGCCGTGGTTCTCTTGGGGAGATAGCCACTCTCAAGGTGATAATCTGAACGACTCGAGCATCCGACGTCTCTAGTCTCGGGCGCGACGATCCTGCTGTTGCGCTGGGGCGAAGGTGGTGGCGAGGAGGGCGGCGACGAACTGGCCGAAGTACGGCCGCTATTGTAATACACCGCGGCCTTGCGCAGGGTCTCCCTGCATAGCTCGGAGAACATAGCGGCCGTGGCCCCATGGCCACCTTAACACGACCAGCAGCACTACACTAGTGGTTTGCTGCCTAAACTTAGGCAAACAGACTTCATCCACTGGTTATTAACACAGCAATTAAGTTGCTCATAATTCTAGTTTTTTTTTACGTATTTTCTTCACTCGTATCATTGTTTTTGCTTTTGTTCACAACATCTGTCATGCATTATCTTTAACATAACATTAAAATACTTTCAAAGAAGTTGAAATAAAAATTTGTTATATGAGACGAGATTGTTTGTTAAATGTAAATTACTTTATTGATCCTTGTATAGTCATAGATCTGTGATCTTTAC